TCAGTGAGTACTCTGTATAGATTGAGCTCGATTGCTCTTTGGATTATAGAAATCCTTTGGGTCGTGGGTGTCTACTCTCAGAAGGTGCTGCCCTGTCCAAACCCACCCCCACCACCCCCCACCACCCTGCCCATCCTCACTCAGCATAGGAGCTTAAAACCAGAGCTTTATGTTTTTCATTGGGAGGGAAAAAAAACAGTTGTACTTGCTGTGAAATTGCTTTGAGATCAATTGGAGAAACAGTGCAGCTCAAGGTCACTGAAATTAAGAGGAAATGGCAATTTAGAAAAGATTCGTTTTTTTTAAAGGCTAGATCAGGCTTCTGCTGAAGCTGGGCGGCCATCTCTGAGAAGGGACAGCAGTGGGGAGGCATTGGGTCTCGGGTGTCCTCTCCTCCTGGGGGCTGTTTTGTGAACAAAGGCTTTGCTAAGTTTGTGTACAGGTTTTCTCTCCTGTGTCGTCCCCCCGGGGCGGTGCCTCTAAGGGCTGGCACGTGAGTCATTCTGCAGACGAGTGTCTCTATCTGTCTTTTGTGTACAGGTTTTCCCTCCTGTGTCGGCCCCCCGCCCCCGACAGCGTCTCTAAGGGCTGGCACGTGAGTCATTCTGCAGACAGTGTCTCTGTCTATCTTGAAAACAGCCTTTCTTTCACTCAGGATTGCTCTGAGGGGCTGGTCTGGGACTGGCTGTGGGTTTCTTCATAATTATAGTTCTTTTGTTTTGTTTTAATAAACATTGCATATTAAACCGTGGACTTATTAACTAGTTGCTTTAGGGCTTGGGCATTTGCTTGTTTAAAGTAGTTTTTCTTAGAGTTCCTTTTAATAGCTAGTTCTCCAGGTTCATTAAAATAGAATTTGCTTCCCAGAATGTGCTTCTTAGGAACATAAGCCCTCATGAAGGTGCAGCACACCCTCAGTGACTTGCCCGGTCTCCATCTCTAAGAGGCAGAGCCGGTGTGTGAGGCAGTGCTTCCTGGGGAATGGTGAGCAAGCGGGGGAGACTGACTGACTTACTCATTTCCTTGTCAACAGCTTTCTTCACTTCTGTGTGACATTTCTGCTAAGAGCTAAGTTTGTCAGTCGGGGCTGCCTTCCCTCCTGGGTTCACACCTGTAGTCTCTTTCTCTCTCTTTGTTTATAACACTTTAGAGACCAAATGTGACCGACCCTCCTGCTGCCCTCCCCAAAGCCAGCTTTCTCGACTTAATCCTTTTCCGCCTCTTTGAAGGAGGTCTCTAACGGCAGCGTGTGCCCCCAAGTACTTGGTCTGGTTCTATAGAGCTGAGGACACACCTGTGTTATGGGTTCTCCTTAGGAAAGCGAGTGGTCTGTGAAAGAGAAAGAGGGGGGTGCCCCCATCATTCCCAGGTCCCCTTTCTGTTAGGGGCATCTCTGCTACTGTTTTGCAGTGCCCTCCGTGTTAACAGTGTTTTGAGTGGGGTGGGCTGGGTCTCCTCTTCTGATCCCGTGAGCCTCTGTCCTCGGGTGCTTGGCTGGGTGGCTTGGAGCACTTTGCTAACTCGCAGGTGTAGATGGCTTTCTCTTGTCACTGCTCCTCCCCAGGGGATTGTCCTTCCTCCACCACTGCATCTTCTTTCTCCAGAATGACAGACGTGCAGATTATTTGATGGTACTTGCGAATTAAAAAGTGTTCTATAAGATAATCAGCTAAGCAGGCTGCAAGCTAAATGCTTATTTCCAGCAGACTCTGATGACAGAGAAGGCCCATGTGATTATGAAAGTTGACTTCCAGACACCGCGCAGCTGCGGGTGAATGACCGTCATACTAGTTAGTATTCAGCCATGAATCCCGCCTTCGGAGCCGGTGACATGTAGTTGAAATATGACTTCCTTCCTGAACTCCGCTAAATGAACCAAAGACACCAGATAACCCTTCGTACAAAGCTCTGGACGCTGCCTCGGCAGTAAGTGAAGGCCAGTCCAGCCGGTCCTCCCTCACAGCCGCCTCGCGCTCTGGGAGTCCTCGGTTTGGCCGTGCCGGTGCCGTGGGTCTCGTGGGGCTGCTAACAGCAAGGTCTGTTGGAGCCCACCAGCCACTCCTGGAGAGAGAGGAGACTTCCCACTCCTCTAAGCAGTTGCCGCTGTGGAATCCCGTAGGGGCAGTTCCGCCCTGGCCTGCAGGGTCACTGTGAGCCGCAGGGAGGGGGGTATGGCATGAGTTTGGTTTTGGGTTTTTCCACGGACGCATGCCTGGCAACAGCAGGGTCTTTGTCCAGGGAGAGCCGTGCTGGCGGTGGCGGTCAGCTGGTGGAGCAGCATAGCATCCCCGGTGGCTTTGGTTTAGCAGTTACACCACAGAACTTGGGGTCACATAACTATGGAGCTTTCCTCCATTTGTGATGTGATGTGGTCACCCTCCGTTTTCCCTCGGAACACCCATTTGGCACAACGACCTGGTCTGTCTGGTGAGAGAGGAGTGGGCATGCCCCTTTGTATTTTCGGGTCACCTTGCTTCTCTGCCCCAGCAGATGCTGGGTAACAGCTACAGCGCAGGGGTCTCGACTTTAAAGACGTCATTACCGAGACACTGCACAGCTGTTTTTGGCTGTGCTTGTCTTGAGAAGCTACACACGTGACCATCTGGACACACACACACACACACACACACACACACACACTCACAGTTGTTATTTTTAACTGAGCAATCCTACAGGATCCAGCTTGCTTCATGTTTAGAGAATATCAAGTGGTGTCAAACTGCCTGGACCGGAAGAGATTTCAGTTCTGGAGTAGTTTTGTGTGGAGTAATTAGAGACCAGTGCTCCAGCCTTAATTTGGGAGATGCAAGGACTTTTAGGACAACCTGAGTTCTTGCTGTGGCTGACTGGGTTGCAAAAGATTGGCTGATCCATGAACAAGGCAGGGCCCAGGGCCACGACCCCTGGACAATAAGACCCCCCACGCAGCCCTTTTCATTCCCCCACAACTGCTGCAGACTAGAAACCTTAGGGATAAGGCAGTAAGTGGGTGGTCCGCACACATGTTATATGCTACATGGATTCCAAGGAGCCCCGATTACGCTGCAGGGTCAGCATTGAACCGCCAACCACCAGGTCGGTGGTTCAAACCCACCAGCTCCTGCGAGGGAGAATGTTGAAGCGACCCACTGTGACAGCTGACAGCCGTTGGGCCCTGCGGCTCGCTGCGAGTTGGAATCGAGTCCGAGACAGAGGGCTTGCCTTGGTTTGCTGTGTATTTTAGGCTGCTCTCACCTAAATGCCGCATTTCCAGGGCGAGATGAAAAGGTATGTCTGGTCGAATGTGCACAGTTTTCAATGGCTGCTGAGGTAGCAGCAGCAGCAGCCCCTGAATTTCCTTTCTTTTACAAAGAGCACTGCGCTGGGCTCAGTGTGTCCTGGCCTCGGTCTGCAGTGCGTGCCAAGCAAGTCACTGCTTCCTGGGCACGCCGTGGCTATGCTGCTTGGGGCACGCCCAGCATCCCGGTGGCACTTTACAGTGTCTCCCACGCTCGCCGAGGCTTGCTGTGCCCGTGAGGACCTCTGGCAGTCACCACTTACTGTGACATGCAGCTTACTGTACACTCAGAAATGACCAGCATTTAAAAAATCTGTATGTGACATTAAACCGTGTTGTGTAAGGGTCAGCTGGGTTTATATCGGTCCCTCTCCAACATTTTTGTGATAAAAACTTTGAACATGCAGGAAAACGGACAGAATTGGCCAATGTTAACATCTTGTTCTGAGGAAGCGTCAAACGGTTCAAGGAAAAATGTAATGAAAAGATACTGGGATATTTCCACAAACTTTTTGATTTCCCCTTGTATTTACCTTATCGCATGACTGCCATCTTCTCTTTATCTTGAAAAAGAAGTGACCTATTTAGTAGCTGAAATAGTAAAATGACAGGACAGAGAGGGACCCCTCCCCCCAACCCCTCTGGAATTATAAAATCATAGTGGCACTTTGAGTACCTGGTCTTTTTTTTTTAACCATTTTTCTTGGTTCCTCCTGTACGGAAGGGACTTTCCTTTTCTGAGAACTCTGGAAAAGTGATTCCTGTGTGATCAGACCGAGTTTGCTTTACGTTCCAGTAGCGGGGCGGGGGAACTTTGTCTGTGAAGACGTGGGCTCTTTGGACAGTGTCTTTTGAGTCTCACTCAGGTACTTGGGTTCCCAGTGTCCAGATCAAACACAGCATCTGACATGTAGTAGAGCAGGTCAGCCATCCGGGGTCTGCATCCCTCTGGTCAATCCGTGCCCTGACCCCTTACCGTCGGGTCAGGGGCAGCCACAGAGGGCAGACTTCCAGCCAGCTCTGCTCACGTGAAGCCTCCAGTGCAGGGTGGGGGTTCCCTCAGGGCCACGGGGAGTAAGGCTCTGGTAGGCTTTTTGGAAGCGATGGGGTTGGACTTGAGCCGAGAGAGAGGGCAGGGTCCCAGAGCAGAGGTGCCCACAGTGGCATGGCAGTCCACCTCCCATGCTTGGGAGGCATGCCAGTGGGCAAACAGTCAGCTGATTGGAAGGTGGGCCTCCTGTAGCAGGACTGCTCACTGTCCCCTGAGCACTTCTAGGCGCCCTCCTTCCTGGCCTCTGCTCAGTGTCTCTCCTGGCACTTCCCAGCCCCCAGCAGTACTTTCCTGCGGTGTCCCCAACACCTAGAACAGCACCTACAATGATAGATACACACGTATGTCTGCATGCGTCTAGATTGCTGCAGAAGCTGGCGCTCGGGAAGTAGACGGTACATACTGGGTCGCAGTGAGGGGAGCGCTGAGGCGTGCAGTTGGGTTTCTGGTCCTGCTAAGGTGTTGCCCTGTCCAAAGAGTGGAATAAAGCTTGAGCTGGAAGGAACACTTCCCAGGGCCAGTGCGCTGTGTACAAGGCTGTGATCTTCCCCAGGTTGGCTTGCCTTGCTCAGCCACGCTGCTGGGAATTCAGCTCTGGCGTTTCCTCGGAATGATTGCATTCCGAAGGAGCCCCGGTGATGCTGATGCCTCTTGTCCTCCCTCAGGCTCCGTGGTGTGGACCATGAGTCGGTAATGCCCACTGAGGACCTCTGGGAGCCATGTCAGACGAATCCGCCTCGGGGAGCGACCCGGACCTGGACCCGGACGTGGAGCTGGAGGATGCGGAAGAGGAGGAGGAGGAGGAGGAGGAGGAGCGTGACAGGGATGACGAGGAGGACCTGCTGGATGGTGAGTGTCCGCTCATGGCATCTGGGCTGTGCGAGCATGGTGTTTCCAGTTGGACTCCTCAGGCCGGCCGTTGGCAGTGAGGAAGCACAGATGGGCAGCACGCCCCAAAGAGCCCCTGCGCCCATTCTCAGGAGTGAATTGTTGCTTCTTCCTAGAAGTCTCGTTTTAGTGCTGGGAGGACCTGTACTCTAACTGCTCTTTGATTTGAACAGACTTGCCCAGGGATGTGGGGGAGGCAGCGGCCGAGCCTCTTGATGAGAATTTGTAGTTTGGCCGCTGTGGACCCTTTAGCCATGGCTAGACATGGGGACAACTGTGACTGGTCCATGAGCTTCCTGATGGCACCCACAGTTGTGTGTGTGTACACATAAGGAAATGGTCCTGGGAGAGATTCTCAGGGAGCACCATGACCCCAGAGAGCGGCCTGCCCCCGGGGCAGTGCTGCTCTGCTTCCCCGCCCCTTCCTGTGACCTCACACGCACACGCACACGCACACGCACACTGCCATCCTCACCTGCTGAACCCTCTGCACCCTCTGGTTTGCTTTGCTGAGTTTACCAACTCCTTTGCCAAATGGCCACAGGGTTTCTCAATTAATGTCAGCCTTTCATGGCATGGCTTCAGTTGTTTGTAAGTGTCCTACTGACTGAAAATAGAGTGTTTGTCTATAACAGTCTGCCCTAATGGAATGGGTCACTGTATTAGAGCACCATTGTGCACTGTGGTGTGAAGGGACTTTCAGGAACATGTGCCCCTGAGATCCTCTGAATTCCTCCATCGTCTTCTCCCCATGCCGTTCTCCTTCCTCCAGCTAACTGCCTGGCACGTGGCTCAGGAGCCGGCTGCCCTGCACGTGCTGTGGAGGAGCCTGGCCGTCCTCTCACGCTCAGCTTCCAGGCTCACTGGGGAAGCTGCCAGTTGGAGCCCCCAAGCAGGGCAGGAAACCTAGCCCAGATTGACCCAGCCCTTGTACCAGCTCCAGCCTTGACACTCTCCTGGGCGATGTAGCGCCAGGCAGCTGTAGTGTCTGTAGCACTTTATTGCCCGTGGTGCTGAACGGCAGGCAGAAGAAGCACTGCCCTTTCGTGATGCCAGAGCTTCCACGAGCACATTGCTGAGTGTGTCTTCCCTTTTTATTTCTCCCACGTCTGGACCACGCACACGGAGGGAAATAAACAAGAACGCATTTCATTATTCCCGTCTTCCCCTTGAAAAAGATTTTTACTAGAGAGTCAAGAGGCCTCTGGAACTAAGCTTGGGAGGGGAGCTCCTGAGAAAAGAGCAGCCAGCTCATTGTCAGGTGAGCCCTTTGGCAGAGCCTGAAAGGTGGGCTCCCTGAGAAGGACACTGGCCGGAGGTTGCCAGGCTGGTGCCACAGGCCGCGTGCTGCTCGGGGCTGCGCTGCAGCTGTTCCTGGATATGGCCTGGCGGTTTCTCTGCCTTCTGCTCTCTAGCCAGTGGGGCTTCCCGCCTTGCTGTGAGGGGGTGATTAGGTGTGCGCTTGCTCTGCCACGGGGGCACTGGCAGGAGTGGGGGAGACACAGCGTATGACACGCTTCTCGGCTCTCGGCTCCTTGCCGTCAAGTCGACTGACTGATGCGTGAGGGCCCCACGGCGGAGTGGAGCGGCCGCTGCGGCTCCGAGGCTGTGGCTGGCTCTACAGCAGCCGAAGCTGCCCTTCCTGCCGTGGAGCGAGCCGCTGGCTCTGCGCCTAGACGTGCTCTCTGGCTGATGGGATCACGAAGTTGGGTCATCAGAGGCCGGGCCACTGTAAGGGTGCACTCAAATCTTCAAAGCGGTGATGCCAGTTTTGGCTGTTTGAGGTGGCAACGATGTCTTTCATATTTGTTAGTGTTCTTTTATCTTTTGGATATACTAATCTTTTGTTTTATGTGATGTAAGTAGTATCTAGTCCAGCGGTTCGCAACCTGTGGGTCCCAACCCCTTTGGGGGTTGAATGACCCTTTCACGGGGGTTGCCTGATTCATAACAGTAGCAAAATGACAGTGATGAAGTAGCAATGAAAATAATGTCATGGTTGGGGGTCACCACCACAGGAGGAACTGTATGAAAGGGTCGCGGCCTGAGGAAGGTTGAGAACCGCTGCCTAGTCTGTCTTTTAACTTTGTTCATGGAGTTCTTTGTTGTAAAGAAATCTGTCATTTTATTGTGGCCGGCTTAAGTCGTCTTTGCCAGTGTTGATCGTGATTTATACTGTGAGGGAGTGAGAGGACAGAAAAAATCAAACAAAACACCACCACCAGCGAGTCGATGCCCGGGGCCTGGTTGGGCTTCTGCGGCGACGCGCATGCTTACAGGAGCAGCAGCCTCATCTTCCCGCTGCAGCGCGGCAGGTGGGCTTGAACGACTAGATTTGCAGTTAGTAGCTCAAGAAGACAAAGGAAGGGCACCTTTTAAAGATTGAAACATGGTTTGTCTCAATGTCTTTGACTAATGTGGCTTTAAAAAAATCTTAACTTAGTGAAATTCTTACAGACTGGACCTTGTCTGTCAGATTTCCAGAGAGTCAAGCATAAGTTTTGCATTGGCTCGTGCCTTTTTCCTGGCTAGTGAAGGTTTCAATGAGCATTCTTCTCAGCATCAGCGTGTTTCTTCGTTCCGCTTGTAGCTCAAGAGCCCTTCTCTGTGGCCTGCGGGCCAGGCACACTGGAATTTTTGCCTGGTCGCAGAGATGGCCCAAAATCTTCCATCGTGACGCTGAGTGGAGTCTAAATTAAACTCTCCTGTGGCACGCAGCAAGGACGTCAGATGGGTTGAAAAAATGTGTAACTGTGCTTACAAATGATTAAGCTTCTTTACTATTTTTAGCCTTCATTCTGCTAAAACCGGTGGTTTTCAACCAGGAGTGATTTTGCTCCCTTGGAGACGGCGGTGGTTTGGGTTGTCACAGTTCAGGAGCTGCGATTGGTCCCCAGGGCACAGATGCCAGAAGTGCCATTCACCACCTACTGCTCCCGGACAGGTCACTCCCCACGAGATGCCTACGATGTGCCGTCCTTTCCTTTCCTGTCTGTGTGTGTGGGTGTGTGTGGGTAGGGGGGTGTCTCTTGTTCCTCTTAGCTTGCTTCTTGGGTTAGTCAGATGCTGCTAGTCCCATTGCTGTCAGATCTCATTCTGTAGACATATGCTTCATTTAAATCTTTAGTACTGGTGATGTCTCCTCTCTGCCCCTCAGACTGGCTTCCCAGACTATTGTGAAGGTCAGTCAGGGTGGTTGCGTGTGTTTGTAACTTCTTCAGGCCTGTTGGCAAACCTATTGACTTTCATGACCTTTGTAGAATCGGAATTCTAGGACTTATAGAGAGCATCAGTCTGTCACTAGGGGATAAAAACCCCGAGACCCCCCTGGACATTTACTCCTTGCTCCCTCTCTCGTGGCGGTGTAAACTGGAAGTTGTTTGAGAAAGTCGACATGGCACCACCCTCGCGTCACTGGAGGAGCCCTGATGTGTAGTGGCTACAAGTTGGGCAGCAGTCTGCAAGGTCAGCAGTTCAAAACCACCAGCTGCCCCGGGAGAGAGAGCTCTAACCTGCCTACAGGGTCACCGTGAGTCGGCATCACAGATGACAGTGAGGCTTTTCCCCTCTGTTTGGTTGGTAAGTATCACCGAGATCTACAGGCCCACCCCGGATATCATCTGCTTGACTGCAGCTGTTCCAATGTCCGCCTCCCTCCAGTTCCCAGCAGTTCCCGTCGCCCTCAGTCACCCTCCTCACAGTCCGCTTGAAGACCTGCTGAGCCTTGATTGCAAACACAGGGCCGCAGTTTAATGCTCTTACTGTGACAGTACCCCAGGTGCCACATGTATGTTAATACTATTATTGTTCTTGGAATCACCCCAAAACGTAGTGATTTCAGAGACGGTTCATGTATTCTCGCTCACAGTTCAGAAGGGCTTGGCTGGCGGTCTGACCTGCAGGCCGTGGGAGGTCAGGCTCCTCATGAGGGCGCTTTCTTCTGAGCGTGGGCCACATTGCCTGGCTTCTTTGTATGTCTAGTTTTGCTATTAAATGATAAATAGATTTTATGAACAATACATTGTAGACACTTAGAATCCTGCCATTTCCTTCTGAAGATTGCTTAACTACTGTGCCCGTGTAGAACCCTTAAAACCACGCCCTTACAAGCTCTACGGAGAGACCGCACTTAGAGGCTAGAAACAAAAAAGAAGCAACCGTCTGCCATCAGGTCAACGCCAGCTCATGGTGACCCTCCTTGTTAACAGAGTAGCATTGCCATCCCACTCAGAACCTGACCGGCAGGTTCTTCCTCCGCGGTAGGTGTCATTGAGCGGGCCTATACCGCCAGCCTTGGCTCGTAGACCAGGCACGCCTGCCACACCAGCCAGGGAAGCACTTGGCCCTCTCACAGATCCACACTAAGAACAGCAGAAAACCAAGGCTTCCCACGTTCAAGGTGGTCCCAGAGGAATGGTGCTCTCTTCAGAAGCACAGAGTGCTAAGTCTCTGAGTGCATTATTCACAAAGCCCATGAGTTAATCAAAGGCTACGAGAGACAAAGACAGAGGAAAATGTCATCTGCAGCCTCCAACCCGCAGCCATCGAGTTGGTCCCTACTGCCAGCGTCCCTGTGGGACAGGAGAAATGCTCTGTGAGCTTCAGAGCTCGTAGCTCTTTACAGGAGTAGAAAGCACACACTCCCCACCCCCACCTTCCCACCAACTTCCGTCTTTCTCCAGGGAAGCAATTGGTGGTCCGGGGCTGCTGACTTTGACCCTGCAGTTAGCTGCTCCACCAGGGCTCCTCTGTCGGCGGTAAGAGTGTCGGTAAAGTTTCACGAACCCCTTTTGCTCTGGCACATCGCCCCCCAACTTCCCCTGGCATTCTCTCCCCTAGCGCTACTGGGTGTCCCGTGAGGGGCTCTTCTGCCCTGCCACTGCGACTGTCTGGTTTGGTCTCACCCTGTGCGCAGCAGCCAAGCTGCTCGTCGTGGATTTGCAGTGAGGCACCTCTCAAGA